CTTTAAAAGTGACAACACCGGTGTAGATTACCAGACTTCATAAAAATAATAATAATATTAAAAAAAGAAGCAAACAACAAAAGGTTTTGATGTTGTTATTATTATTGTTATAGCAGGTGTATTTCATTTTCTTTAAACCTTGCTTGGCTATTTGACAATTTTTCATGTTATTTTTCTCTCCTATCTATATATAAATTACCCCTTAATGTAACCCTCTATCTTGAGGTACCCCCGGGCATTGTACAGTGTGAAGCTTACTGAAAAAAACAACATTTATTTGTTTAAATCCTTTCTTCGATAGGAAGTTTATTTATAACGCAACCTCGCAATTTTTATCCTGTTCATCTGCTTACGCAGTGTGAGTTTGCGTTATAAATAAACTTTATATCTAGGAGAGGAGTTAAACAAACAAATGCCTTTATTTTAAAACAAGCTTTACCCTGTACAAAGCCCCGGGAACCACTGGAAGGAGAGAGTTACATTAAGGGGTAGTTTATATGGATAGGAGGGGAAGATAATGGTTGACTCTAGACTTGAACAGGTTAAGATTGTAGTGATACGGGAAACATCCTCTTGGGAGTCTGTTTCACAGGGTAGTGGAATACGGATGAAGTGTGGCATGTGTCATGGTGGGTCCTTGCTGTGAAGGTTATATCTGACGGAACCAAGGAATGCAGTTCGTCATGACACTAGCCGTGAGGATTGTGCAGTTTTCGTACTTGGACTCCTATATTTAACACTAGCAGCATGGCCCGGCGTTGTCCGTGCTTGATTCAAAAATCGTACGACTTATACAGCAATCGCTATCACTTGACTTAAAATATTTTTGCCCTTCCTTGCCTTTAAGGGAGTGCCCTTTGCCTTGCTGATGTTGCTACATGCCTTACTTCTTGCCTATCTCACACTGCAAATTATTTCTAAGCTCTATACTAAACATTAAATCTGTTACGAAAAAAGAACTAAACAAAATGAACACAAAAAAATGGAAATGGTCGTCATGGGTAAGACATTAAACTACATCCCCGCCCAGGGTAAGACGTTAAACTACATCCGCGTCCTGGGTAAGACGTTAAACCACGTCCAGCAGCAAGTCCTCTGATCAGGAGGTTTTGAGGAGCGTGGAACCACCTCTTAATTGCTGGTATTCCCAGGTCCACCTTGACCCAGTGTGGTAGCACCTGTTAGGGTCCCAGCTATGGATAAAAAGTTAACTTTTACCAGCAATACTTTTTTGAAAAAAATTATTACCAGCAATACAATTTTGAAGGAAATATATTACAAAAAATATATATATTACAAAACAAAATATTACCAGCAATAAAAATTTTGTCAGCATTAAATAATCCATTGAGGTAAAAGAAACCAAACTAATCTAAACCAAAGAATACATATTCTATTCAGACGAATCTATCCTAAAAATGTTGTCGGCATTAAATAACCCATTGAGGTGTTGATATGCCGTTAAACAAAATAAACCAAACCAATCTAAACCAAAGAATACATATTCTATTCATACGAATCTATCTTAAAATGTTGCCGGCATGAAATAACCCATTGACGTTGATATGCCGTAAAACAAACCAAACCAAACTACTGGAAATGGGTTATAAACATTTTCGATTCCTCATTCTATAATAAATTATTACAGATCATACAACTCGTCCTATCGATCTGTTTATCTGATCGGCCTCAGATGAACACTGCTTTTCTGCCATTTCTCACATCCACAGCCTTTAACCAGTTTTTAATTGCATATTCTGGTGCTGTCTATTTGATCAATAAAAGTTCTTGTTGACCAAACTCTTAATCTTGTGCTAGACTGTTCTTTCGAGATTGTTCGCAGCTCTGTCGAACTCTCTGACTTTGGCAGAGAGGAACCCGGACGAAGCTGTGCCGAAGGGCAGTTTCGTCCGGGGAGATAGACAGTCCCGAACAAGTTCATGCGGATTCTACGGGAATATTTTTGGCCGAGCTTATGAGCTCGGAGAACCCACGGTAAACACGACCTTGTGTCATATACATCCCTCGTGGGTGAGGTGGCTGTTAAATATTAGCTCTTAATCTTTTTTCATCATTTGGCGCCCTGTCGACTGGGGCTTCAGAATACGCCGACTGCACCTCTTCAGAGTGGTAAGACTCTCCCCAATGAGGCCTCCTAGCTAATCCCCATTGCAGGCACCTGCTCAGGCACATTTATCTTTGTTCAATACCCAGAGAGCCTACCTGTAGTTTATACTGCAACTAGACTCCTGCAGGCCGATAACATCACGAAGTCACCTTCCTGAAAAATCGACGATGGTGAGATTCGAACCCGAGTCTCGTGGCCAGAATAATATAACAAATGGAAAACCGTTTTCTTGAAACTAGATTACGCATTTCACCTTTCTCTCGGCTACATCAGATAAAAAAAAACGGAAGACAGAAATATGCGGATGTGTGTGCTTAAAAATTAATTTATATTTTTTCGATAAAAAATACAACTCATCCTTAGCCCCAGTTAACTATATATATATATATATGTCTTAAAATAATTGTCGGACTTTGTCCATTTCATTTTTATATTTTATATTTTTGATACGCCATGAGCAGATATGAATGTACGTGAGAGAATCATGAAAGATTGTAGTTTAAAGACAGTAAATTCAACTGTGCTAACCGAACGCTCCTCTGTGGCCCAGTCGGTAAAGGCACGCCAGGCTATATGACGGTTCCGTATAGGATACAGGTTCCATTCCTGTTGGAGGACGAAATATTTGTATTTATAAAAAGAATGTATAAACATAAAAATGTCTTGAATTATTATTCGGACTAGTGTCCTCATCTTTGTCGCCATATTTATTACAACGTTTCGGCCGTTGTACACTCCGGCCTTCTTCAGTGTCTTTGGGTCTTGTCATTGGATCTAACCAACGCCTTTATCCACTTTGCCATGTGTCCTTGAAAAGAGTGTGAATTCAATACGCGGTTAAGTCAGTGGTGAGGAGAATTAACAGGAGATAACTGATAACTGATATCCATTAAATATGGCACGTGAAACTAGAACAGTCTACCCCAGTGAGCGAAATAAATTGTTCAGTTCGAACATTCCAACTACCTGAAGAAGGCCGGAGCGTACAACGGCCGAAACGTTGTAATAAATATAGTGACAAAGATGAGGACAATAGTCCGAATAATGTAAATAGTGTACATAATACCTCATCTCACAAATATAGACAGATACTGAAAGGCCGAAATATTGTAATAAATATGGCAACAAAGATGCGGACAATAGTCCGAATAATGTAAATAGTGTACATAATACCTCATCTCAGAAATATAGACAGATCTTGAAGCCATCCTAATTAAAAAAGCAAAAATCCAACATAAATACATCCATACATTTAATACTGGCAGAAACATCTTAAACATATTTGATATCTGATCCTCCAAATAATAAGCACCAACCCCTGCTTATTAATAACCACATTGTCTAAATATTACCTATAAAACTAAAATAATAAGCAACCTATTTCAAACCAAAACATACAGCCATGATGACGGTTGACGATAACCGAATGCGCTCGGGAAAACACGGTGGACTAGGGGGTTACTTCAACAACTTAGACCCAAATAAAAAAAAAATGCGTGAAAGCAAGAAAAAATGATTATTAAACGGAAAAGTTCCGTAGTCTTCAAAAGTGGACATTGAAGTCAACCCACTAACGATTCTGGGTTTTGGCTTCAATCTCCACTTTATATATATATATATATATATATATATATATATATATATATACACTATATAAATATCCCAAATATCTATTATATCTATAAAATAAAATAATAAGCAACCTATTTCAAACCAAAACATACAGCTATGTTGCCGGTTGACCGTAATCAAAAGCGTTCAGCAAAACACCATGTACTAGGGTCTTATTTCAATAACTTAGACCCAAATATGAAAAAAAAAACTTACGGGAAAGCAAGAATAAACAGAAAAAACGGAAAATTTCCGTAGTCTATAACAAGAGCTACAAGGGACAGAAAGTTGTGGAGGGCCATTATCTACTTTATTTAGATAGCTACTTTTCAATGTTATAAGATCTATTGCTGCTTGATTACAAGGCATTAAGCCAGTTTAAATTTCATAGCAATCCAACTTGAAAATAAGGTTAGAAAGACCTTGACAACTATCGCCCTATCACATTCCCATAAGACATAAAAAAAATCAATTCATTGTCAAAAAAACAAATGTGAATAGTTTTACTTTGGAGAAAACCAGTCGCGCTAACAAGTGGGTTTTAGAAATGGGACTCAGAAATAGACCATATCAAACAATATATCGTTTGACTGTAAAAATAACAGAATACTAATCCTTTTTCGGTGAGGTGAAGTGGAAACATGATATTGAATCAAGCACTAGATGAGATTCTCGGAAAGTTGGTTTACGATATCGTGTCATAAAATTTTTTCACGCCAGAACTCATCTTGCACTATCATAAATCTCTCATTCGTTACTCGGATATTTGACCGACGGATAATTGGCCAACGGATATTTGGCCGACGGACATTTAGCTGAAAATATAGTGGCCTAATCACATGTATGTCACACTCTTTATTGTAATGTGTTACATAGAGAGTGTCCATAAAGTTCGTGTGAACTTTAACAAATTTATAACTTAATTTGTATTTGCGATAGAAATAATCTGTAAAAAGGATTAGAAATAAGTAAATCTATATTTCTTTAAGGTTTTATTGAAATTTTATTTAAGTTTCCACATGTCCTCCATCATTAGCAATACAAAGGGTAATACGATTTTGCAGTTCACGGAAAACATTTTCCAACTGATTTACAGTAATGCCTGAAATCACATTAGTTATTTTAGCTATACTTAAAACTAGGTACATTAAACTTTATAACATTTTTTACAGATTATTTCTATCGAAAATATAAATAAAGTTATAAATTTTTTTTAAAGTGCTTAGAATTTATGGACACCCTGTATATTTATCTCTATCTA